CCTGAGCAGTAATAGTATATGGATGAATTTCCTTTGGCAGGTGGATTTTGTAATTGACATTGCGTAAGTGGTATGCAGTGTTGGCCAACAATCGAATGCAGATTGCTCCAGTTTGCAAGGCAGTGGAAGGCTATAGTTATGATAGATTTTCTGCTTCTTGTAACAGTATGAACAAGGTTCTCTTTTAGCTAGTTATGTATTTATTGTGTGAGAAGCGAATTGAGGGTATAGTTATCATGTATTTAAAAACACAAAGTTTTAAAAACTTGGCATTATACCTGTCCTTTGACCAGGTGGCTGTAAGAAGGTCCTCCATTGTGTATGAGGCAGGGCTCAGACTGTATTCTAATAGTCTGTGGTTTGCTCTTCTCCAGTGGACTCCAGTTTGTAGACCCATTTCTGAAAATTAGCTCTGCACCTTGTGGTGCCAAAGCGCAGTCTCTTCAGCACCTTTCAAGTCATCCAGACTTCTGTGTGCCTAGAAAGGAGTCTCTCATTTGGTATCAGCCATGGCTTGAGGTTCTGGGTTTTAGCCTGCCACTTTTGGACTCTGGTTTGCTGTTCCTGCAAGTATCTCTGTAGATGTTAGAAAACTATTTCTTGATTTAAGGCATTGACGTGCTGGCTGATATCTGAACAGAGGATGGGCAGAAGGTGTCACTGCCTTGGTTCTTTCATTATTGGCTGTTTCTTCCCGGTGGATGTCAGGTGATACAATACCGGCTAAATAGTATCATTTCTCCAGTGGTGTGGAGCATAGACATTCTGTGATAATGCGGCATGTCTCATTAAGAGCCACATCCACTGTTTTAACATGGTGAGATGTATTCCACACTGGGCATGCGTAGTAAACAGCAGAGTAGCAAAGTGCAGAGGCAAATGCCTTCACTGTATCTGGTTGTGATCCCCAGGTTGTGCCAGTCAGTTTTTGTATAATATTGTTTCTAGCACCCACTTTATGCTTGATATTCAAGCAGTGCTTCTTGTAGGTCAGAGCACGGTCCAGGGTAACTCCCAAGCATTTGGGTGTGCTGCAAAGCTCCAGTGGGTCCCCTTCCCAGGTAATCCTCAGAGCTCGAGATGCTTGTCTGTTCATAAGATGAAAAGCACACATCTGTATTTTAGATAGATTAGGAATCATCTGGTTTTCCCTGTATTATGCAGTAAGAACACCTAAAGCTCCCTGCTTGTAACCATTTCAAAGCTCCCTGCTTGAGCGGTGATGGCATGATCATCAACATAGATGAAACTCTGTCCCTTTTGGCAGTGGCTGATGATTTGTGTAAACATTGATGGAGCATGCACGCTCTCCTGAGACAGGCCGTTCTTCTGTTTTCACCATCTTCTTCCCTGGCCCTGGAATTTGGCTAGTTGAAAATGAGTAAAAAATGAAGGAGAAATAATG